TCAGGGTTGCTGCTCCGCCTGGGAGCCTGGGTGAGGCGGGACAGAAGGACACGTGGGGGTGGAGTGGCGCCTCTGGTGGCAGACAGAGCCGGGGAGCCTCAGCCTTGCTCTGGAACCACGGTGTGATGTGGTGTGATGTGATGAGCCACTTCCTGCATCCCATGCGCTTGAGACTACAGATGTAGTGATTATTCAGTACTCACCTCACGAGGTTGCTGATGGGAGTTAAACAGCTTCTGTAAAGCGCCTAGCCCAGAGCCATCTAGCTGAGGCATAGTGTCGGGCACCTTAAAAGCCCTTGGTGCGGGTTTGCTGCCTTAGTGAGGCAGAGTGTTCTTTAGCCCTGGTACACGCATAAAACAGATACTGTGCACCATTGGTTGCATGTTGGCCCAGGTACCTGGGCGACAGGGACTATGTCAGACAGGGTCCTGCTGTCCCCAACCCTAAGGACAGGAAGTGAGGGAAGAGGCTGAGGTGACCACTGCAACAGCAGAATGACCCAGGGCCTGGTCCCAGCTCCCAAAGTCAGCAGAGGGATCCCTAAGTCTTTGGAAATTCCCCTCCAAGGCCTTAAGAGCTGTTGTTTGTTGGACAGAGGAGGCTACCCCGAAAACAGCTGAATCGTGGTTTCCCAGAAGCTCAGCAGTGCTGCCACCTCTGGGTTTTAATGAGCTGCCCTGGGTTAGACATAGGACGGGACTTCGCTGGCTGAGAACCCTGAAGATCTTATTAAAGAATCATCTCTCGTATTCTGAGCTGAAACGCTTTTTCCAGGTGAGGATCAAAGCAAACTCACAAATACGCTCTCATTAATCTCCCATCCTCTAGTGGGGGGCAGCAGATCAGTAGCCCGTCTCTCCTAGATGTGGATGCAGACCTCCCTCCAAGACAGGCAGAGCAGAGCAGAGACCCAGACCCTAGAGTCTGGGGGCACCTGTGCCCGGCACCCAGCCCAGTAGCTCCAGCACTGTCTTGGAAGAAAGGGAGCAGCTCATTAGGCAAACAGGCTGCCACTCGGCCCTTAGGAGGAGGGAAGAAGGAGTTGTAAAGGTTAGACAGCTCCTCTGCCAATATCCTTTTAATTTCCTGCTTAAAATGTTAGGCTGCTCTGTGGCTCCTCCTGCGCCCCAGCCCTCCCTATGCATGTCGTGGGTGCTGGGGTGTGAGAGGCCAAGCAGGGTAGGGCCCAGGCACCCTTGCCTTCCTGTCCCCCAGTGGGAAAGTGGCGTCTCCTGGGGGTGAAAACACAGGTCTGGAAATTAGTCCTAGTTCACACATCTGCAGTGTACATGATGTCAGTGCCATGAAAGGGATTGTATTACACAAACATTGGGGGCCAGGACAACACCAAAATCACCACGGCACAACATGTCCCACCACTGCCATCAGGTGTGGGTCCAGGGTGGGACCCGGGGCAAGCTGTTAGCCCTCCATGTCTCAATTTCCTCCCTGAGAAATGAGTCTAATATTGCAGTCCGTCCTGTGGGATTGCAATGGCGGAGGAAGGAGGTGTGAGCATAAGGAACTCTGAACGATCCCTGATGAAGTGAGGGCTCGCAGTTTATTATGACAATCCAATTGCCAGGACAAACTGAATTATTTAGATGTATGTGGATTATTGTGGGCTGATGTTTTTACCTTTATTGGTGTGCAGAAGTTAAGAAGTTTAGGGGGCAGGAATTTCATATTAGCTCATTTCAGCCTCATTTCCCAAGGAGAACCCTAGCTGGCTGTTGGAGTACTGGGTAGGAACCCACTTTCCTTTGGGCTTTGTGACTGGGGCAGGGGTGAATGCAGCCTTTCCTGGGAAAGCATTGGTTCACTCCCAGCCCAGAACAGTGACCACTAGAGTCCAGCTAAGGTTTCCTGGGGCATCTGGGACTCTTGCATTCCAGAAGCATTTTACTGCCCTTGGGAAGGGGAGCAAAGGCGGCTGAAGGAAGGCAGGGACATTTGAAGTTATTACCAGGTCAGTGGAGGAAATGTTTTTATCACTTTCCACATAAACAGATTAAAGGAAAAATACAGTATGATCATTTCAGAAAGCACAAAACCCTTGCTCCTCCTCCCTTGGAGGGCAGAAGAGAGTGGGTAAATAGCACTAATAATGGGAAGTACCTGTCTGAGAGGCTGGCAGAACCCAGGCAGTCTGTTAGCACTAATGAGGGCGCATGGCACCGCGGTCTCACCCCAGTCCGCACCCAAAAACCTCATGCTTACCTGTATCCTGGCAAGAACAGATTTGAAAATGTAATTTTAACAGCCTGTTCATAGCATAACAGATACTGCAATAATGGAAATAAACCTATGGAGTAATACATGATGCTCCTGTGGGGGAAACTGTTGAATCTTACTGAAGATTATAAAGTTGTGCATAAATGGAAAGCGCAGCCCCTCCACGGGAAGACTTGTCATAAAGGTTCTGAATCCAGGCATATTAATCCATAAATTCAGGATAATCCAAATTAAAATCGTAGCAGGATTTTTCATAGAACTCCACAAGCTGATTCTAAAGTCAGAAAGAAGGAAGGACAGAGATACCCAGGGGTAACCAAGAAGGAGCACTGCAGTGACTTCCTGCAGAAGGAAAGAGGTGCAGAGTTGCTCAGGTCCAGCAGGATGCAGGGCCCAGGTGGGAGTCCCACACATGCGTGTGTGTGTGTGTGTGTGTGTGTGTGTGTGTGTGTGTGTGTGTGTGTATATTGTGGTCCCCAGTACTACAAGTTGCAGGAGAAAGACTGCCCTGCCCACAAGTGATCTCTAGGTAATCACTTCTAATTGAAAAGAAAATGTTGAGACGTCACATCATTGAAAAAAAAAACCTATAAAAACCTAAATGAAAGAAAGAAGTGAGAAAAGAATTTATTACCTTGACAAAAGGATATTTTCTTTTCTTTTTTTTTTTTTTTATCGGTACTGGAGATCGAACTCATGACTGCCTGCTTACAAGGCAGGCGCTTATGCTGCTGAGCTAAACCCCCAGCCCCAAAAGGATATTTTCTTCTTCTTTTTTTTTTTTTTTTTGTCTTTTTCCTTTTTATCAGTACCGGGATTGAACTCACGACTGCCTGCTTGCAAGGCAGGTGCTTATGCTGCTGAGCTAAATCTCCAGCCCCTGAAAGGATATTTTCTTAAGCATGACCCCAAAACCACAAAAGATAGGCATATAGGCATAATTATCAGAAGCTTTTCTCTGCTGGGGTAGGGTTTTTCCCAGGAATGCATGGTTGGTTTAATACCGAGATTAATACCCAGTAATACACCATTGTGAGAGAAGACCATAAACATTAGGAGCTACTCAAAGGGTTTGGAGATAAAATTCTGGACTTTCCTGTTAGCAACTCTACATAAAATAGAAAAATAAAAATTGAAATTATTTTTATAATTGATATGATAGACTGTCTCAAACTCATTCGTTCATTCATTTCTTCTTTCTTGCTTTTTTTTTTTTTTTTTTTTTTTTTTGAAACAGCCTCCCTATGCAATCCAAAATAGCCTCAAACTCACTACTTAGCCCAGGCTGGTCTTTAATTCTCAACCTCCTGAGTGCTGGGATTACAGGAATGGCTACCAGTCCCCGCTTCCTAAGGACTTTCTCAGCAGTGTAGTACTAAAGCCATTTCCCGTTAGATCAGAAACAAATCAGCAGGCTCATTATCATCATCACTTTTCAACATTGTTTTAGAAGTTCTAGAGATTGTATTAAATGTGAATAAAACCGACATGGTGGCCCACATTTATAATCCAGCACACTGGGAGCGTGAGGCAGGAGGATCACAAGCTCAAGCCCAGCCTGGGCAATTTAGCAATTTAGTGAGATTGTCTCCAAGATTTTTTTTAAAAACACCTGGAGATAAAACTGTAGAGGAAAACCCTAGGTTCAATCCCCAGTAATGCAACAACAAAAAACATATAGATATAGATCTATCTTTGTATACAGATACATGAAAAGTGAAACATTTTTCTCTCTTCTAACATATAATTGCATACTTAGAAAATCTAGGAAAATCTGGGTGTGGCAGCACATACTTATAATCTAGCACTTGGAAGGCTGAGACAGGAGGATTTCGAGTTTGAGGTCAATCTGGACTACATAGCAAGACCCTGTCTCAAAAAAATAAATAGCTGGACATGGTGATGTACCCCTGTAATCCCAGCACTGGTAAGGCTGAGGCAGGAGGATCATTGCAACTTCAAGACCAGCCTGAGCTACAAAGTGACCCCAAGGCCTGAACTGTATAGCGAGACCCTATCTCAAAAAGACAACAAATAAATAAATAAAAAAGAAACTCTAGTTCTTAAAAAATTGAAGTAAGAAGGTAAACATGTAAAAATCAGTCATGCCTCTCCATACTAAATTAACAGCCAGAAGAGGAAATGGGAAAGGTGTTCCATTCATGAAAGCAATTAAATCCATAAAACATTTGGGAATTACACTAAAAGGGCAATTAGAGAACCTACTCAAAAAGATAGAAAACTGTAAAATCTTGAAGGACGTAAAAAAGATCTGAACAGGCAGTACTGTGTTTTTGCCTAAAAGGTTTGATGTAACACAATAGATATGTAAATTTACTGCCTTGCCAGCTGTAATCCCAGTGTGGCTGGGATTGCAGCAACCCATCAGTCCCAGCCCCGGCCTAGGCCTCTGTCCAGGGCCTCAGGCAGGCTGAAGCTGTGTCCCCACCCAGTGCAGTTTCTAAGGTCAGGGCCCAGTGAGTCCAGGAGCAGCGAGAATAGTGGTGGGACACCTTGACTGGGCTGTCGCCTCTTCCCCTGAAGCTGGCTGGAATGTGACCTGGTGGGGAAGTGCAGCCTCCACAGGAGGGCACACAGCAACTCAGGGATACCAGCAGCCAGGATGGGCTGAATGTGAGGAGGCTGTTGTGTCGGTGCCCACTCTCCCAGACCCACCGGGAGGGCTGGGGCAGACCCTGGATGCGAGGGCCCAGGTGCTTGAACCTGAACCTCATCCTGATTCTGCAGGTGTTGCCATGACAGCAGCCAAGGACAGCGTGGTCCAGGTGGTGGTGCAGGTACAGCCCCCCACACCTCGGGAGCTGGAGGGCCAGCGACCCCCCTGTGGTACAGGTGGTAGATGACCTAGTGCTGGTGTTCAGCCCCGGGGAGCCCACCAGGGGCCTCCCTCCCCTCAAGCGGTGTGGCACCCAGGATGGCCCAAAGAAGAAGGGCAAAGACCTGATATTTGTCTTTGACCGGGTCTTCGGGGAGGGGGCCATGCAGCAGGACGTGTTCCAGCACACCACGCACGGCCTCCTGGATGGCCTGCTACAACTGCTCAGGTGAGGGACGGAGGGGCAGTGACCCAGCGCTTGGGACAGAGGCGAGGGGCAGGCAGAACAGTGTGGCCCACTGCCGGCCTCCACCCCTGTGTCCTCCAGTGTTTGCCTATGGGGCCATGGGGGCTGGGAAGACACACACATTGGTAGGGCATCACGGGGACCCTGGCATCATGTACCTGACCACTGTGGAGCTGTACCGGCTCCTGGAGGCCCTGCAGGAGGAGAAGCCATTTGAGGTGCTAGTCAGCTACCTGGAGGTGAGGCCGAGCCTGGGTGGGGACTGGGGTGGGACTTGAGGAGGTGCACCCGCCCTTCCATTCCTGCCCCCATGTCCAGGGCCCCAGCCATGCCAGGTGACACTGAGGGCCCTCCCCCTGTGCCCCCAGGTCTACAATGAACAGATCCACGACCTCCTGCAGCCCAAGGGGCCCCTGAGCACCCAAGAGGATTCTGACAGGAGCGTGGTGGTACAGGGCCTGTCTTTCCACCCGGTGCAGGCCAGGGACACTGCAGGCAACTGGATGGGTGGTGACAGCTCTGACAGCAGCTGCCCTGGGCACCGCCTGCTTCACAGCCTGCATCGGCTGAGCAGCTGCTGGAGATGCTGAGCCATGATAATCACAGCTGCATGCAGCACCCCACCGATGTTAATGCCAATGCCACATCCTCCTGCTTGCATGCCATCTTCCAGGTTTGTGGGGTGAGCCAAGTCTGGGACTAGGTGGCCATGTGCCCCAACCCACCACCTACCCCTCATCTCACCGTCTACCCCAGATCTTTGTGAGGCAGCAGGTCCATGTGCCAGGGCCAACGTAGGCCCTCTAAGTGGCCAAGATGAGCCTGACTGATCTGGTGAGCTCGGAGTGGGCGTCCAGAACCCACACCTGGGGTGAGTGGCTTCGGAAAGGGGCCAGCATCAACTGATCCCTGCTGGCCCTCATCAGTATCCTCAACGCCCTGGGTGATGCCAAGGTAAGGCTGTGTGTTACCTGCAACCCCCGCTTGGCTGCAGGCAGTGCCCAAACCCATGGTGAACCCCCTGCATGGGCCCCAGCAATCCAGCCCAGCCCAGCCCCTGCTCCCGTCACAGGGCCGCAGGGGTCACGTGCCCTTCCGGGACAGCAAGCTGACCCCCCTGCTCAAGGACTCCCTAGGGGGCAACTGCCACACCATGATGATCGCCAACATCAGCCCCTCCGGCCTGGCCTACAAGGACACCTACAACACCCTCAAGTGTGCCGACTGGGCCAAGGAGATCCGGCTCACGGTGTGTGCTGGCTGGGGACAGGGCCTGGGCAGGGTCATGGCCTGGGAGGGGAAGGGCCAGGACAGCATCCCAAGTGCCCACCCAGTGTCTCTGGGCAGAGAGGAAAGACACTCCCTGTGTTCCATTTTTGGAGGGAACCTATAATAGAAGTAGCACTGTCATGCTTTCAGGAAGACTCAGTGGACAGAGGCAGGACGGTCTCTACTGACTGAGGGAGGCCTGGAGGAGTGGAACAGCCTGACCAGTAGCGGCCCAGGGTTCAGGCTCATTTTAGGCAGCAGGAAAGTTCCCTCAAAGCCACTTGAGCACCCACACAGCTCTCTAATGAGTGCCAGTGCAGGCCCTCACCCCGTCCTCCCTGGAGCCTAGCCAGCACATCCTGCTAGGATCAGGACTCTCGCACTGTTCTGGGCTCTGGCCTCAGTGCTGCTCCATGAGGCCGCCCAGCTGCTCAGTGGACACTGCTGTCCCCGCCCCTCACAGCTGAAGAGAGTGTGGTCACCCTGGATTGTCACATCAGCCATGTTGCCACCATCTGTCAGCAGCTACAGGCCGAGGTGAGCAGCTGCTGGTACACTGGGTGTGTGCCCCAGGGCACTGTGCTGCACTCTGGCTCACAGCCAGCTGGCCGGGCCACTATGTTGCAGGTGGCCTCCCTGAGAAGGAAGCTGCAGGAGCTCGAGGCAAATACACGGGTGCCGCAGGGGTAAGTGGACCCCAGCCCCACTCTGTCCCCACACCTGGGCCTGGGCCCACTGGGAACCCTGTGTCCTGGGAGGAGGCACACTCACTGCTGCTGCCTGTGCTCTCCCTGTTTCCCATTCTGTCCTTGATTTGCCCAGGCAGAGACCCAATTCACAATCCTCCTGTCTCAGCTTCTGCGTGCCAGGATAGTTGTGTGGCCGCTGCCCCCTACTCAGACTCAGGGCTATTGTTTCTGACTCCTCTCTGCCTGGCTCATGTCCTCCCTCCCACTCACCCCTCCTCCCCACCTGCAGGTGCCTCTCACCCAGGGCTCCCTGCAGGGCCTGGAGCCCTTCTCGACCAGAGCCCTGAGACAGAAGCCCAGGAGCTGCAGGCACAGAAAGGGAGCTCTGCAGACCAGGCGAGGTTCCCACCCAGGCGCAGTAGCAGCAGCCTCAGAGATGCAGGCCCAGTCAAGATAGAAGGGGGCAAGGCCTGGCCAGGGCAGCAGAGGCCCCTCCTACTTCCCTGGACGCTGCTGCTGCTGCAGCTCCTTATATGTGGAAGTGACTGGGCCCAGCCACTTGCAGAGGGTACTTCGGGAGGTCATCCTGCTTCTGCTCCTGTAGTGCCTTCTTCCTCCTTAGGTTCCAGCCCAGATGCCAGAGCCAGACCTAAGAAGCCCAGCTTCTGGGCCCTCTGAGCCGACCTCGACGCCACTGTCACTGCGGAGACCTTGAGGGGAACACTATGGGCTGTGAGTGTCTTCTCACCTCTGTTCGGGTCCAGGCGGGAGGTAGGGGCTTAGCTCCTAGAGATGGAGCTGGGGTTTAGGGCACCATGGGTGCTGCTCCCCATGAGCATCAGTCCCCATGGGGCAGTGTCCTCACCAATTTCCACCCTTGCCCTGCTCAGAATCATCCACTGTTCCCCATGCAGGCCCCTCCCAGAACCGCCTGCTCCGGGCACTGCCAACCTCCTGGGCCTCCACGTGCTAGGCCATATATTTAAAGCTCCTAGACAGAAGGCCAGTTTAATTTTATTTCTTGTTGGGAGTATCTGTTCCCGACTCAGCAGAAATGCTGAGGCCGATGCCTGAATAATCAGCACTCGTTACCTCTTCTGCTTGGCTCTGGGGCCCCAGAGCAGGACATGCAGGCGCACACCCCGCTGACCCTGCAGGTGACCCTGTCGCGGAGGAAAGGATTATGACCTTGTTTCCACCCTGCCTGCAGTTGGCCGAGATGCAGGATCAGCCCCCATCCCCCTCTTTCCTGATGCCAGGGCCCTGAGAGCCAGGGGCTGCAGGACGTTCTAAAACTTCCCAGATCTGCTCCATACTTGGAAACACGCCGACAGCCACATCAAAAATAGTTTCCTTTCAAGTTCAGCATCTTGCGCTCCCAGGCCCTTGAGCTGCTCTGAGATCTTCCAGTTCAGTGGTTTTTCAGTTTTTTCCCAGCTTCGAAGTCCTCTCTTGTAGGGAACCTCACACTGAGGTCTCACCCAGAGGACAGACAAGACAGTCTGTCCCCAGTGCATGTTGGGAACCTATTTTGAAGACCTCTGAGTTTTTTTTCCTATTTATTTTTATATTTTTTATTTATTTACTTTTGTGGTCTTTTTGACGCAGAGACTTCCTTCCAGGCTGACCTCAAACACAGTGATCCTCCTGCCTTGGCCTCTCCAGTATTGGGATTAAAGGCATGCACTATATGCCCAGCCTTTTTTTTTTTTTCCTTTTTATACTGTGGGTTGAACCCGGAAGCTTTGCACTGAGTGTCATCCTTAGGCTGTTTCTGAAAAATTTTAAGACAGCCTCACTGAGTTATCCAGGGTAGATTCAGCATCTTCCTGTCTCAGCCTCCCAGAGTGCCAGCATGACAGGTGTGCACTGCCCAAGGATAAATGAATTTAGAATCATGGCACTAGTAAGTGACAGAGCCACTCAGAAGGAAACTCAGACCTTGAGAGTACTCAGTGACAGAGGCTCTTTCCCCACTCCTGTGCACGGAGAGCAGTGTCACAGTCTACCACCTCCTTGGCTGGCTTGGCACTCAGCGAGGTGGACAGGGAGCTGGGGATTGGCCAGGTGAGCCCGCGGCTAGACCGAGAGTAACAGAGCCCTCTGTCCCAGGCTAGTCCTCCGAGTGCTGTGCCTGGTCCAGCAGCAACATGCACTGCTCCGGGCCGCTGGCCTGCTCACCTCGGACCTGACCACGGAATTCCAGACAGTGCAGCAGCTGGTGCTTGAAGCATACAGTGGTCCCGGGACTGAGAGCTGCAGGACGCCGGACCTGGTTCAGGAGCCAAATTCAGAGTCCCGTGAGTGTCACCCTGCCTACCATGGACACATGGGCGGCCTCCAGGCCTGCAGTGTTGGGCTGGTAGCTGCCACTTGGCTTCAGGCTCCTTCTTCCCGTCTGGGATCCAGCTCTCGTGTCTATATCTGCTCCTCCTCCTCTCTGCCCAGGATCCCCAGGCTACTGTGGCCCTGTGACCCAGGCCATGGCAAAGCGGCAGAGTGGCCTCACGTACAACCTGGGTGTCCTTCCTGGGCCCAATGGCACTTCAGCCACAGTGTCCTGACAGCCCATAGAGAAAAGGAAGAGAAAGAGGAGACCAAGCTCTGCAGAGCTCAACAGCCTGGCCCCGAGGCAGGGAGCCAAGCGCCAGCACCAGACCTCCCTGTCCTACACCCCCACAGAAGCCCAGGCCTCCCCCGCCTGCCACCCTGCTCCCCTCTGCCCAGCCACCATCATCAAACGCTGGGCACCCATGGGCCCTTCAGCCCTGCAGAACTGTACCACACCCCTGAGGCTGCCCACCTTTGACCTCAACACCACCTTTGACCTCAACACCACTTTTGACCTCTCAGAGGAGCCTCCCTCGAAGCTCAGCTCCCAGGAGTGGCCCAAGCCTGGCCAGGCCTTAGTCCCCACGTGGGTCTTATAGTCTTCTGGCCAAGGGTCAGGGTCAGCCCAGAGAGCAGCAGATTCTTTGAGCTGGATGTTTGCCACCTGCCACTTGGGCCCAAGGAGCATGCCATCCAGGCTATGCTGCTTGGGCCCCAGGGGCCCAATTCTGTGCTGGCAGCTGAGCACCAGGGATGCATGGTCCCTACAGAAGCCTGCTTCTGCCTTGGAACCCCCAGGGTCTCCTCGCTCAGCATTGAGAACAGGCAATACTTGAACAGGATTGCCTCCTGAGTAGGAGGCAGCTGGCACCCCAGCTTCTAGACCCCACCTTTATGGCCTGGAGGGGCGGCAGCCAGCTGGGAATGGTCTGTGGTAGAGAGTGAGTGGCAGCCTCCCTGGGCACAGGCAGCAGTGCTCCTGCTTAGCTCTCAGTAGTTGGTGCAGAGCAGGGTAGGCGGCAGGGCTGGAGATTGACAGCTGGACGGCCTCTAGACCATGTTGTCACTCAGCAGTCAGCTTGGTGGAGGGCAGAAGGGGCTGGGGCCTTGCCTGCCCCTCCTGACTGGCCTCCTTCATCCTTCCCCACAGTGAACCAATGATCCTGTTCACTTCGAGGGGTCCCCAGTCCACATCCTTGCCCGGGGCCTCGGCCTGCAGGAGGAGGCGCCCAGTGAGGTGAGGCCTGCATGGCAGGGCAGGATACCCAAGGGCAGTGGCCCCAGGGCTGAGCATGGCCCCCACCCCAGTCCCGGCCAGCCCTGGAGAAATGAGGCCTTGTAAGCCCTGTTGGCATCACATCCTGGAGGCAAAAGGTCACAGCCCCATGCAGGGCTCAGTCAGCACTCACTGGTCACCCAGTCTGGGCTGTCCCATCTTGATCCAAGCTCCTGGTCCCTCCCCTGCCTTCCAGGCATTGTGTCTAGTCCCTGCCCCATGTGTCCCCTGGCCCAGGCTGGGCTGTGACCACACCACCCTCCTACAGCTCCTGTGTCCCCTGGGGCCGCAGCTGCATTCCACGCCTGTCCAGCAGCTCCTTGAAGAGGCCAGCAGGGCCCCTCACCCTCCCAGGTGACCACACTGGGACAAGAGCTGAGCATGGGAGGGAGCCCTGGAGGACCCCAGCACCCAACAGAGGTAGCAGGAGACTATGGGTGGGGCCAGGGCAGCCCGAAGACAGCCCTCACTCTCTCTCCTCTTTCTACCCCGCCCGCTGGAGTCACCCTGAGGCTGAAGATCCAGGAGAAGCTGGCCAGGATTGGGGAGATGCTACCAACTGAGAACTGCATCACCCCGGGGTCCTGACCCCTGTGCTACTACTCACCCCACTCCTTGCCACCCCGTTCCTGCCAATCCCACTCCGTCTTCCTCCCTTGTGGCTGAAACTGGGCCCCCCAGCACATTCTTGAATGAGTGTTAGGGGTGCCATCTGCAATGCCCACCTGGTCTACCCTAGACGCTGCTGAGGGGAGCAGAAGAGCTGGGCGCCCTGGAGGCCTATGTGGCTCCAGGTGACCCAGCAGAGTATTCTTTGCCTGGCCTGGCAGTGACACTGTCTGAACCCTCAGAGGAAGTCAGAGTTGTCATCTGCATGGGATCACATCAGTGTGTAGGTGTGGACTCAGGCCACCCTTGGCATCAGTGCTGGGGTGAACACAGAGTTCCACTCTAATCCCGCCCCCCCGCCGTGCACGTAAGAACACCCATGCGTGAATGTGGTATGTTTTACTCCAATAATCAAATTCCTTATCTATTTCTAAGAAGACATGTAACGTATTAACTTCTTTATATTTTTTTTCTTTATATTTTTTTCTTGATAACTTGTACCCTTTTAAAAGCTTTTTTTTTTTAATGTCCTTTTTTTCTTTAAATAAAAAAATAAAAAATTCCTCATCTAGCTAGGGGCCTTTGTTACCTGCACAGGCAGCAACACTTCAACCCCAGGCTCGGAACCTCTGGGCACAGCCACCCCATCATGGGCACAGCCCCAGTCAGGAAGCAGCCACCCCTGGGGTCCCCCCCAGCCAGAGCCCTGATGGACATGGGGTAGATATGTGCAGACAGCTCCATCTTCCATGAGGGCCGCGCTGGCTGAGAGAATTGTGTGCAGGAGCCTGGGTTTGACCAGCTTCGGAGACAAACACTTGAGGGGATTTAGCACCAGTTGGATGGTGTGTGGTGATTGCCAAGGTTCAGGGGCAACTGATCTGTCTGGGGGAGCAGCTACCCTTCTGCCTGGTTACAGCTCGGTCCTGACCTCCCCTTCCCTGGAGGACTGGGGACACCACCACGCTGCAGCCACGGCCTCCTGGGTGCTGTACCACCGGAAGAGGAAGGAGGGAGGACAGAGGAGGTGAATGATGAGGGCTATGAGGGGTGGGGGAAGACCTGGCACCCGTGCTGCACCCTGCAGTAGTGCTACGGAGCTGCTTCTACTGCGCAGGGTGGCGCTCAGGGCTCTGCAGCCAGAGCACTGACTCCCAATCCCCACAGGTGTGGGCAGTTCCTGCTCACTTGGTCATCACCACCCCCAGTGCAGAGGTGACAGGCAGGGCAGGAGGTGAGGGGGAACAAGGTCTGGCGGAAGTCACCTTGACAAGCATGCCCCGGCAGCTGCTCACTCTGCAGTTTGGCCCATGCTCTCAGGTAACCCATTAACTGCACAGCCTCTCCCCTGGTAGGTCATCAGCTTTGGTGTCCACAGGCCCAGATCTGAGCTCTATGGGGGGCAGTATGGTGCAGCTGACTCCTTGCCAGAAGTCTGGGGTTGGATGGTTCCCACATGGTCACCACGAGAGATTGGGGCTCTCAGTCACTGAGCCTAGCTAGGCCTTGTGCCGCCTGCCCATGGGCTCTGATGTCCATGTCCCTCCCTGCTCCTTGCATGAGCTTGAGTCCCTTCAGTTCACAGAACCCAGCTTGGCTCCAGCAGCTGAAAACCGAACTTAGTCCCTTTCATGGAGTGGGACAGCACTTGTCCCGGTCACTGAGTGGGAGCCGACCCCATGGTTGTGGACAGCTGCCAGAGTAGGGGCCAGATTCTTGAATCTCCACGCCCAGCCCACTGCTTGGACCCTTGAGGACCATCCTGGCCAGGGCATCTGTGGCAGCAGCCTCTCACTTGGGGATCTGCCCCAGCCCTACTCCATCTGTGTCCCCCAGCAGAGGACTCTGCTGTCTGTCACCTGCTGCCAGCTGGCACCAGGTGGTGGTGCCTTTTCTCATACATGGGATGAAGGACCTGGGGTGATGGCTGGTGATGGGGCAGGGAACCCGGACCTGGGGACCAAGGTTGTTTCCACCTCCCTTGGGACCCAGCTTGATTGATCTCTGGTCCACCTGGGGGTGGTGGGCTGGGAATGCCACCTGCTCCTCACCAGGGCCCCACCTGTCCCTGCCTCTCTGTCCCCTCCTGAGGGACGGGGTGGTCTGGCTCCAGGAGGCAGATAAGCAGATAGCAGAATGAGGGAAGCGGTTAAAAGGCTAGGTTGGGGAGAAAGACCAAGCTCTTATCCTGAACTACCTTGGCCCTGTGGTTGGGAAGGGAACTCAAGGTGACCTCACCACACATGATGGCCAGGAAGGAGGGCAGGCCTGGCTGGACTGAGGCAGGGACAGCCTTGGGAGCCCTTCCAAGGGCACATGACACCTAGCAGGAGGTCTCCATCCCATGGGGCCTGTCTGAGATGGGAGAAGGGAGAAGGGACAGACAGGGACACCAACCCCTCATCACCAACTGCTGCCCCTCGGTCCTGGTCACTCTGCCTGTCTTTTTTTTTTTTTTTAATTTTATTTAAGGAGAAAAAGAAAAAAAAAAACAGAAAAAGGGTACAAGTCGTACAGAACTTCAGAAAAAAACAGTAGGAAATCACTAGTTAATAGATTACATATTGTCATCTTAGAAATAGTTGTTCAAGTTACAAAATTAAAGCATATAGAGTGGACATTCAAACAGTGAGACTGCAAACAGTTCTGTTCAATGATCCAACAAAACTCAGTAATATGGTCATCTATCTTATACACTTAAATGTACATGCAGTTATATCCTTTAGAGCACTTTCACTCTGCCTGTCTTTTGCCAGGGGAGTTGAGGGTGTGAGGACCCTCACTGTGGACCATGTGTGGCCCAGGAGTCTGAGCACAGAGAAGGTGTATGGAAGCTGTGAAGGTGGACGTGATGACACTATCGTGTCAGCCATCTCAGGGGCTAAGGCAGAAGGATTCCCTGCGCAGTTCAGCGAGAGTGATGGAGGGGTTCCTAAGCTATATTCAGTGATGAGCACTTCCTTGGCACTCCCGGAGCCTTGGATTCTGTCCCCAGCGCCAAAAAATAAATGCAAGGCACCTGCAGTATTTTCACAGGCATCTTGGAGGCAGGAGTAGAAATGGAGACTCAGGAGAACATGAGGTAGTCCACAGGGCTGCACTCACAATTCTGGCAGGCAGTGCCAGAGTCTCAGTGGAGTCTGAGAATAAGGGATGCTCTGCTGGGGCGGCGAGACTGTGCCTGAGCCACCCCAACTGCCACTCTGCTCCCAAAAGCTTGGGAGGCTGAGACAGGACAACTTGGCAAGACAACATCTCAGGATAAAAATATGGAAAGGGCTGGAGATTAGTGCTCCTGGGTCTGGTGGACAGGACAAGGGAGACAGGGAAGGAAGAGCAATTTGCCAGGGAGGCATGAAAGTGGCAGCCTGGGCAGCAGAGCAGCACCATCTAGTGGCTGTGGTGCTCAGTCCCTCAGGGCAGGCTGAGGCCTAAGGGGCTAGTGCTGTTCTGGAGCCTCAGGCTTTGCCTGCGTACAGGGTCACCTGGCAGATTCCACTGCTGGTGAGGGACCCAGTGAAGCTGCCGCGTCTCACCTGGGAGTGAAGCAGGGTGCGCTTGGCACCTGTGTGCCAGGCCAGCAGCATGGCTGCGACACCAGCCTGGGTGTGGGGACAGAAGAGGAAGCCCAGGGGAGGTGACACTCAGGGCCACCTGGCTCTACCACTGCGTCCACCCCTGCAGGCAGCGGCCTGTGTGCAGCGAGGCCCAGGGGAGATATCACCAGCAGACCAAGGGCCTGATGACGGGGATGCAGTCAGGGGAGACTGCACAGCTGTCACCGGGATGGTGGAAAAAAGTATTGGTGTGGAAAGATGGTCATAGCAGACCAGAAAAGCATGTTGCAAAGTAATTTCTGCAGCATGAGCCTATTTTGAAGGAAGAATTTTTATATCTTTAGAAAAAAATCTGGTAGTGTTTATCTCCAGGTGGCAAAATTATGGGTGGTTAAATTCTTTAGTATTGCTTATCTGTATTTGCTGATTTTTTTGTTACCACATGATAAAAATTAGTAAGGATGAGTTGGGGAAACCACAGTGGCTGGACCCTCCTCCCTGGGAACCCTCTCGGGCTCACGCTGGGGGACCCTGAAGGCAGCTGCTCCCAGCAGCATGGCCTGGAGCAAGAGCTTGCTCCCCACCCCCATCATGATGGGGCAGGAATGGCCAGCACAAGGCACCCTGGGCCAGGCGCCCTGGCAGGCATTGGCCTGTTGCTGAGCCCTGGCAGCACTGGGCTGGGCCCACAGCCCCTGCTGGCACCTTCCAGTGACAGCCTGGCACAGACACAATGGCCTGGGTGGGCACACGGCCTGCCTTGTTCCAGGAAGGTCTCAGAGCAGGACTCACAGGCGCCTGCCTGATGTTGCAGGGTCTTGGCATAAAAGCATACACAAAAAGTGCATTCACAACATACACACCCTGGGATGCCCTGGCCTTGTAAAACCTGACTGGTGAACAAGGCCTCATTCAACAGGTTGGGGCATAGTACAGAGAGGCAGGGCAGGCCTGAGTGGGCTGTGTGCGTATACTCGTGTGTGCCCATGTGTATACCTGCCCATGTGCATGTGTACCCATGCTTGTGTGTACCCATGTGTGTGTGGGTGCCCATGTGTACCTGTGTGTGCCTGTGCATGTGCATGGGTCTGTTTCTCAGAAGCCTCCGGGGATGGCCACTTGAGGTGCTAGGTGGGCTCCAAGGTTAGGGGAGCACCTGTACCCTGCCTCCACTCCCCTTGGATGAAACAGTAGCTCCAAGTTTCCAGATGCAGCCCGCCCCCCTCACCCAATGTCCAGGGGCACAGGAGAGGGGGTCCAGCAAAATCGGTGCTGCAAGGTTGTTGGGAACTGCTCTGTAACCGTCAGAGCCTGGATCTGGGGTGCAGGGAGGCAAGTAGGGAAAAGAGAGAAAGCTGCCCTCCTCTCCCTACTGGAACAATGACTGGGGACCTGGTTTACCCTCCTGCAGCCCAGGCCCATCCCCAGGGAATGGGGAGAGAGTGGGAGTGGGGGGACATGCTTGGTCACAGGAAGCCAGGAACACACATGTCCCTCACCAGACTCTGCCTCCTCAGACACTGAAGGGGTGCTGAGTTGGGACCCCTGGGTTATGCCATCTAAGGGTGGGAGCCAGCCGCAGTGGCACACACCTGTAGTGCTAGCTACTCATGAGGCTGAGGCAGGAAGACTGCAAATTTGAGGCCAGCCTGCGAAATTTGATGAGACCCTGCCTTGAAATAAAGGTTGAAAAGGGGTGGGAACTGGACGTAGTGATGCATATTTGTAATCCCAGCACTCAGGAGGCTGAGGCAGGAGAATAACCATGAATTTTAGGGCAGCCTGAGCTACATAGTTCAAGGCTACTCTGAACTACACAGCAGACTCTATCTCAAAACAAACAAGAAAATGGAGGTGGGGACATAGCTCAGTGACAGAGCACCCCTGGGTTCAATCTCCAGTACAGCAAAACAGTAAGGCAGATCAGAGGTCATCAGGCCCTCTTGGGCTCCAGTCCCTTGAAGAGAGCTCTGGTCCCTTAGAGAAATCTCCCTGCTGTGTGGTTCCAGCCCCAGCCCCCTACCAGGCCAGGGCCCGTGTTCGGGAAGCCCTACCTCCAAGTACAGTGGCCCCCCAGGTCTGGCCCTGGCCCAGCCCCACCCCTCAGGCATGCCAGAGGCGTTGCTGGGCAGCCTGGGTGCTGCCAGCCTAGCGGCCTCCATAAAGCCCTGGCGGCCTGGGGCCAGCGAGCTGGCAGGATGGAGCGCAGACGCGCATCCTCTGCCCACCGCGCATCCTCTGCCCACCGCTCCTATGTCTCCTCCTTGGAGACTGTGGTCGGGGGCCTGGGAGCTATGCGCCGCCTGGGTCCTGGCCCCCGCCTGGGCCTGGCCTGGATGGCTCCTCCACTCCCTGCTCGGGTGGACTTTTCCCTGGCTGGGGCTCTCAACGCTGGCTTCAAGGAGACGCGGGCCAGCGAGCGGGCCCAGATGATGGAACTCAACGACCGCTTCGCCAGCTACATTGAGAAGGTCCGCTTTCTGGAGCAGCAGAACAAGGCGCTGGCCGCAGAGCTGAACCAGCTAAGGGCCGCCGAGCCCACCCGGCTGGCCGATGTCTACCAGGCCGAGCTGCGGGAACTGCGCCTGCGGCTGGACCAGCTCACGGCAGGCAGCGCCCGGCTGGAGGTGGAGCGTGACAACCTGGCCCAGGACCTGGGCACCCTGCGACAGAAGTGAGGACAGCAGCAGGAGGTGCCCTCCTAGCCAGCCTTCCTCAGGGGCTGGGGGGGCTTGGGTGTGGCACCTGGGCTGGGGTCCCCTGAGCCTGGGGAGCCTGGGTCTACGTGGTGGGCGGTAGGGGGGAAGGCAGTGTCCCTAAGGAGCAAGCAGCCAGCTGGGGTGCAGAGCAGATGTCCCTGGCACCAGCCTCTGATCCTCAAGCCACTTTGACCTAACACCTGGGAGGCAGAAATGGAGGTGAAACCCACCCTGTGGTCGCCACCGGGCTCCTCTGACCCTCCCTTCTGCCATTGCCTGGTCCTGGTCCTGACAGCCACTACAGGCAGATTAGGAGAGACCTGAGGGTCCTCAAGAAAGCCAGGACTCAGGGCCACCCTCATGCCTCCACAGGCTGCAAGATGAAGCCACCCTGCGGCTGGAGGCCGAGAACAGCCTGGCCAGCTATAGACAGGTCAGGAGCGGTGAGGGGGAAGCAGGGAGGCCAGGCTGGAGCTGGGCAGGGGGCCCAGGTCAGAGCAGCTGCAGCCTCTTCCACCCCAGGAAGCTGATGATGCTACACTGGCCCGGCTCGACCTGAAGAGAAAAATTGAGTCTCTGGAGGAGGAGATCCGATTCCTGAGGAAGATCCATGAGGAGGTAAGGATGGGATGGGATGCAGGCACGAGGAGAGACAGGACAGAGAGACCCAGAGATGAGGAGAGACCTGGAGACAGAGACAGAGAGACACAGGAAACAGATCCAGGGGCTGGGGATTTAGCTCAGCAGCATAAGCACCTGCTTGGCAAGCGCAAGATTGTGAGTTTGATCCCTGGTACTGGAAAAAAGAAAAAAAAAATGCCAACAGACAGAGAGATCCAGAGACGGGGAGAGACCCAGAGACAGAGATAAGGAGATACCCAGAGTCAGACAGACAGAAACAGAAAACAGAGACACAGAGACATAGGAGACAGATCCAGAGATGGGGAGAGACTCAGAGATGGGGCGAGACAGGAGGCAGAGACAGAGAGAGATGGGACGGAGGAACTCACAGAAGGAGACAGAGAGAGATGGGACAGAGAGAGGAGACAGATGACCCAGAGAAGGCAATAGGAGAGATAGGGACAGAAACAGAAGACGGAGAGACTCAGAGACACAGGAGACAGAGACGGAGAGACAGGAGGGACTCAGAAGGAGATAGACAGGGAACAGAGACAGGAGGCAGAGACAGAGAGATAGCAAGATAAAGACTCAGAGGTGAGAGACAGAGGGACATTCAGAGACAGAGAGATGGGGAGGTAGGAGTGCCCAGTCCCACCCGAAGCAGCCCTGGCCCCCTGCGTGTGCAGAAGCAGGCCTAGGGCCGCTGTTCCCCCCACGTCCTCCTGTAAGGCAGAAGCCCTTCCGCCACAGAGGTCCATAAGCCAAGGTCACTCATTAGCCTCTCAGACGCCATCTGCCTTAACTACAATGGGAGCTGTGGGTAAAAATGCAAGGATCTCCACTGAACTTGGCTTGGATCCTGGATCCAGGGACACAGTGTCATCCCGAGGTCACCAGTGCAGGTCTGACATCTACTCCCTCTGTCCAGCCTGGAGAATGAGGCTGCCTGGCTCCCTGTGTCCCTTGACCACACTGGGCAGAGGGGTGGAGAGACCTGAGACCAGTCCTTTGTCCCTCCCTGTCCAGGAGGTGCAGGAGCTCCAGGAGCAGCTGGCCAGGCAGCAAGTCCACGTGGAGATGGACATGGCCAAGCCAGACCTCACAGCAGCTCTGAGGGAGATCCGCATGCAGTATGAAGCTGCAGCCTCCAGCAACATGCAGGAGGCGGAAGAGTGGTACCGCTCCAAGGTAGGGCGTGGCATGCCAGAGCACGCGAGGGTCAGGATGGGAGCTTGCAGGGGCCACCAGGAACTGGGACATCCCAGCATTGCCATTGCTGCCCCATGCAGCCTTCAGCCAGCGCTGGCCCAGAGCTGAGCCACCGCGATGCACTGCCCTGTGACAGATGAGAGCTGAAGCCCAGAGAGGCTGAGAGCATCCCTACCCCAGGCTTCCCAGAGTGCAAACAGCTGCTGGAGTCCAAAAGCTCTCCTCCTCCATGCCTGTCCTGCCTGAGTCCTGGTGCCTAGAAATCTCCTGTGTCGGGGACACAGAGGGCCCCTGCCCAGGGAGATGTGACCTGGGCCAGGCAGGGTGGCCAGCAGCTACAGGCTGACAAAGATGTTTCAGGAGGGCAGAGCTCAGTGGAGTGGCCGGGATATGGGGTCTGACCTGTGGAGGGGATGGTGACATCCCATCTCAGGCCCCGTGGCCCCCCAACCAACGAGCCCCCACCCACCCTGTCAGTTCACCGACCTCACGGATGCGGCTGCCCGAAATGCTGAGCTGCTGCGCCAGGCCAAGCATGAGGCCAATGACTACCGGCGCCAATTGCAGGCCCTGACCTGTGACCTGGAGTCCCTGCGGGGCACGGTGAGCCTGGGGGGCTGGGGGCAGAGCAGGAGACTCGGCACCCTGGACCAGCAGAGGCCACTGGCAACTCCGGCCTGCCCCACAGAATGAGTCCCTGGAGCGCCAGATGCGGGAGCAGGAGGAGCGCCACAGTCAAGAGGCATCCAGCTACCAGGAGGCGCTGGCCCGGCTGGAGGAGGAGGGCCGGGGCCTCAAGGACGAGATGGCCCGGCACCTGCAGGAGTACCAGGAGCTGCTCAGTGTCAAGCTGGCCCTGGACATCGAGATTGCCACCTACCGGAAGCTGCTGGAGGGCGAGGAGAACCGGTGAGCCTGCCTCCCCCAGGGGGGTCACCCCAGACCCTGGGGCTCTCGACTGTGCCAAGGCTTCCTGCATCACCCACACACAGCAGGGCCTGCTGGGGTTGCTGGGAGCAGGGCTGGCCTGAGTGACTCTAGCCACTGTCACCTGATCCTCTGTCTTTCAGGATCACCATTCCTGTGCAGACCTTCTCCAACCTGCAGATCCGAGGTCAGTGGTGGCCCCAAGGTGGGGTGGGGAATTCTTATCCTGCCAGGGCCAGCAGGAGCCATCCCAAGGCCTCCTGACCAGCATTCGGCTCCCAAGTACACAGTAGCAGCTTTCTCGTGCCAGCCCTACGAGGGGTCCTAGCTATTCCCTGCCAGGGCTGACACTGGGATGGTTTGTGTTTTTCTTAATCTTGTCCACTGCAGGAGGCAAAGGCACCACAGAAGGGGAGGTCTGCAAGGTCACCAGATACCTCAAAAGGCTCACCATGTGCGTCCTCCCCGTGCAGGGCCTGCCAAGTGTAGACAGAGCCCGCGGCTCTCGGTTAGCGCCCCTCACAGCCGGACTACAATGGGCCCTGTGGCCATCCTCTGAGTCCCCTGGTCCCTCGTCCCAGGCATCCCCTAGAGGACCAGGACAGTCATGCTTCCTGGGGACTTGGTGACCAGCCAGGACCCAGCCAGGGTCCACTGTAAGGTCCCCTCACAGGGCTGGCTACTGGCTGCCCATGAGGTGCTCAAGGACTGTGAGCAAGGGCCGGCCTTGCCCCCTCCTCTTGTGTCATGGGGGAGGCCAGGGTCACTCAGGGTCAGCTGTGCCTGCAGACTTGTCCGAGCCTGAGGCCCAGGAACTCAGCCTGGTGCTGACGCAGCCCGGTGGGGTGCTTCGCTCCAGCTGCTACTCCTGCAGGAACATAGCTTCCTGCCCTATTCCTGGCTGTGATGTCGGCAACTGAGTTCTTTGAGAGAGGGGCGTCAGGGATTATATTCAGGAGGACTGGAGGCACACGAGTCAGAACCTGGCTCAATCAGGCCAACATGGAGTGACCTTGCCACACGCTGGACCACCAGGGGTCACCAGGTCCAGGCGGGTGAGGGGGAGGAGGCTGACAGGCACCAATACACGCTGGGCCCATCGCGCCCTCGGACCCCGACAAATGGGTACAGCCACCACTTGATCAGCAAGTGACTACAGCAGGCAGAGCAGGGCCACCAGGTTAGGGATGGCTGCGCTGGGGCTTAGGCTCCTGTCCGCCACGTTTCCTGCCCACTGTTCTGTCCCCAGGGAACTGCTGGGCTGTTAGAAAGCCGGGGCCAGGGCTGAGGGACAGTGGTGCAATGACAGCATGGAGGGGCCAGAGCCTTCCAAGGGAAGCACAGCCACAAACCTGCAGGAGCAGCTGCCCAGTGGCCTCCTCTCTGCCCACAGAGACCAGCCTGGACACCAAGTCCATGTCCGAGGGCCACCTCAAGAGGAACATCGTGGTCAAGACGGTGGAGATGCGTGATGGGGAGGTGAGGAGGCCCTGTCTCCCTTCTCACCTGACTCAGGTGCCCACGCTGGCCAGGGTGAAGGTGGGCCCTGAGGAGTGGGGAGAGGGCACCTGGCCCCATCCCAGCTCCCTTCCAGCACCTCCAGTGGGCATGTGCAGGCGGGAGCAGATGCCTCACTGCAGTGTCACTATAGCTTCTGTCATGCACAGAACCAGGCTGGCTGGGGACCAGGGTCTGTGTGAGCCCCTCACAACTGTGTGGTGCTCCTTGTCCCCTGCAGGTCATTAAGGAGTCCAAGCAGGAGCACAAGGATGCCGTGTGAGGCGAGGGCAGCTGGCCCTCCACAGCTGAGCCCCATCAGGCCAGCCAACCCCTACTTCCTGTCTCCATGCCAGCTTGCCACACTGTCACACTAGGCCTGCCCAGGAACCAGCACCCAGCACCCAGCACCTTGAACTAACAAGATACTTCCCACAGGGCAGTCAGGAGGGTGAGGCATCGGCCTGGTTAGAAGTGGGCGGACAGGGGAGATAGCAAGTTGCATCTTCTTGTTATAGCAACTGTCACAAGAGCTGGAGCTAGAGGAGGGATCAGAGCTGTGGGGGACAGTTGGAGGGGGGATCTGTCCTTCTAGAAGGACATCTGGGGAGTGAACAGGCTGCCACCCTGGTGGTCGTGGGACAGAGTCCTGGACTGCGAGGCAGAGTGTGGCTCAGGGGCCTTGAGCTCCAGGCAGGGGTAGGACATGGGCGCAGGGCTCCTGGCACTGTGGGCACTGTTAAGTGGGGAGGGAAGGGCACCAGGTGGGAGTAAGGTGCTGTAGTCCCAGGCATGGGTTCAGAGAGGCTGATACTGGAGGATGCCCCACATGCCCGGGGGGAGGTGGTCAGTGCTGTGAGGGGCCGAGGCGGCAGCGAGGAAGTGACTGGTCTGAGGGAACAAAGGGGGATGTGGCCGGGCTCCAGCACCACAGCTGCCCCAGCTGCATGTCTCTTCCAACTGCGGCTCTGGCCAGAAGACCACGACCCCCCCAGGGTCACACACCCTCTTCCTAGAACTGAGCACCTTTGGATTTTAGCAGCACCCCGCTTATGCCAAGGCCCTCTACCCCTTTTCCCCTTGCTGCGCCTTTGTGGCTGCCCTCCCCATCCTGGCTGCTGCTGCTGCCGCCCTCACCTGCCCAAGAGAAATAAAGACCCTACTACACCTTCCTCTGCCTTCCAAGTGTTCTCTGGTCTGTTCCTGAGAGAAGTGGGGCTGTGGCATAGCCTGGCAGACCCTAAGGGTCCTGAGCCCCATCAGCACTGCACCCCACACCCCACCTGTACTGCTCAGCCCAAGAAAAGAAAGGTCTGCCTCTGACCCTTGCCCTGTCCCCTTCCCAGAGAATGACGGGAGGAAGCCAAGACGGATGCAGCCAGCTCCCACTGGGCCCTCCTCCCTGTGACCCAGGTCCCCTAGCAGTCTCCAAAGGCGTTAGCAGCCCAGAGGGGCACTGTGGAGTATTTATTGCTTTATGTCTCCCTCTCAGGGCTCAGCATGACACAGGCATATGCATCCCAGCTACATCCCTTCCGGCCAGCCCCCAGATCAGGCCAAGGACCAGGAACCTGAAGAGCAGGCAATGACCCACAAGTCTGCCCCTTGTCCTGCACCCCTGGCCTGGCCTAGGAGCCCACCAGAGACGTGGGGCCAGGTAACCAGCACACTGAGGAGCCCAGGGTCTGCAGCGCCCAGGGACAGGGGACCTAGGGGACCAAGTTGGGACAACAGCGAAATAAGTAGCAGCAGCAGCGGCAGAGGTGGACGGTGACAAAGATGGCCGTGATCAGCAGATAGCCAAGCAGGGCAAGCTGCAGGGCAAAGCGGGTCTCAGGGTCTGAGAGCGAGGCACGGTGGTGCCCCCGAGATGTCACGCTCAGCCGGATGCCAGCCACTTTCACGCCCTGGTGCCAGCAATAGTAGGTGCCCTGGTCACTGCGCCGGGTAAAGCGGATGTGCAGCTGGTGGCCGTGGTCAATGAACACCCGCATGGACCTGTTGACCCCCTTCAGGTACTGGGTGTGGTACAGAGGCTGGTGGTCCTTGTCCCAGGCCACTGAGTGCTCAGGTCGGGCCCCGGGGCAGGTGAGGATGAGCCCCTGGCCCAGTCTCTGCTGGTGGAACTGGATGGGCACCTGAGGCAGCCAGGGCCTGCTGCCTAGCTTGGACACGTAGCTGTAGAGTGCCAGGATGCCCTTGCGGATTCGACTCCGGTTGGTGCAGGGCACCTGGCAGCTCCGCACCAGCAGCTCGGGGGTGTGGGCCGCTGCCATGGCTCGGAGCTGCCTGGGCACGGCCCGAGAGCCACAGGACACCACGCCAGGTGGCATGGTGTGGTACCGAGGTGGAAGGTCTGGGCTCTGCAGGTAGCACAGCCCTAGGCGCCACTGCTCCCCACGCACCCCACAGCGGTCACAGGCTGTCCACTCCCAGAAGGCGGTGAAGATGCGGAAGCTCCCATGCCGCTCATCCAATGAGGGCTCCTGGCCCCTGTCTTCAAAGGTGGCTACCAGTGCCTCACCACTCTGGATGTCCACGTCGTAGGCATAGAAGTAGTCACCCTGCTGGGTGCCACAGAAATACAGGCCCGAGTCCTCTGGCTGTGCGTGGAATACCAGCAGGCTGAACATGCGGATACCAAAGCGGGCCAGCACGTCACTGCCTGTGCGCACCTGTGATGCCTCTACCAGCAGCTGCCCATCAAAGTCTGTGAGCACCTGGGTGTGGCCGCTGCCCAGGTGCTTCTGGTGGAACCAGACCACCGCTGGCACCTGCTCTGGCTTGCAGTGGCATGGCAGTTCGAAGCTCATGTCAGCCAGGTAGGCGGCGTTGTCGAACATCAGGAAGGCAGGGCAGGGTGTCTTCTGGAAGATGTTCTCCTTCTCCATGACCTCAAAGGCCTCAAGCATGGCCCAGACCCACAGGAGCACAGTGGCGTGGGCTGGACTCATGGGGTTGGGGAGCCCGAGGGTTGGGACTGTTGCCTGGCGATGAGAGTTGCACATACTGGGAACAGAGGCTGCCAACTGCATGGGGAGCGGTCAGATCCCAGGTGCCTCCCCCAGCAGACACACCTCCTCCCGAGTTCCGGGCCTGGTCATTCTAGAACCAGCCTCGAGCCTCTCAGAACATTGGCACCAGCCAAGAATGGGCCCAGGAACACAGGGTGGTGAAAACGCTCCAGATGCTGGGCCTGCTTGGGAAACTTCCCTCTCATCCTGCCAGGGGAAGAGGAGCACCCTGCCCAGCACAGGGGATGTGAGCAGACAGAAGCCAAAGGCCGGGGACACCATCTCTGGGGAAAACTCTGCACCTCAAAGAACACTGCCTTTGACCACTGGGTCAGGGGAACACCAGGGTCAGCGTGCCACCAAAGATGAATGAGTTGCCACCTTTTTCTTCTGGTGGGGCTGTACCTGGTGTTCTGGAGACACACTCTCAGGCTGTGAGACCCAGCAGAGTTAGAGAAGCCCTTGGCTGACCTGTGCATCTACAAGGCTGAAACACCGATGCCGGGTGCGGTAGTGCTAGCAACTCTAGGGGGCTGAGGCAGGAAAATCAAAAGTACGAGCCCAGTCTGGACAACTAAGTGACTTAGACTCTGTCTCAAAATTAAAAAATAAGAAGAACAAAAAGTTTTCCCTGAGCTTGGGACACAGCTCAGGGCAAAGGTCCTAGGCATGGCCCTCAGTACCAGAGAAAAAAAGGAGACATCAGGAACTGAGAAGTGGCAAGATTCAATTCCAACTACTGCTCTGAAAATTCCAAGTTGAGGTGGGGAAGTGGGTTCATAACAGAAACCCTGAGCAATGCCACATGACCCCTGGATCCCAAGGGTGGCCATAGCGTCAGGGGACCTGGTACAGCCCCCACAGCTCCTGCAGCAGGCCCTGCTCCTTCTTACTGGGTGCCTTCTGCCCGGCCGTAGGGGTGCCCATGGCCTGTAGCTTCTGGAACAGGGCTCGGCAGCCCTCACGCTCCACAGGGCTCAGCAGGCTCATATTCAGGGGGAAGCGCCTGGTGCTTGCCAGGCCCTGCAACACCTCCAGCACTGCTACTCGGTCAGCCGGCCTCACATGATCAGCCAGGGTCACCAGCAGCTCCCCAAGGAGTCCAAAGCCCACATCTGTCTGGAAGAGGCAGCCTAATGTGGGGCCCCCAAGCTGCAGCAGCGCCTGGTAGCGCTCTGGTCCACTCTGCAAGCGGCGACGCCAATCACGGTAGAACTCTGCTGAGGTCCCAGGCTGGAAGGGCGTCTCCTCCTGCATCAGAGAAAGAAAAGGGGGTTCAGGGCTCATCTGGCTGCTCTGGCTCTGTTCTCTGATCCCTGGGGAGGCCATGGTCCTCATGGGCCTCTGTGTGAGATGAAGGAACAGGGGTGGGGCAGGGTGAGAAGACCCAGGGCTCCTGGCTGTGGTTTGTGGTCCTCCTGCTCATGAGAAGGAGGTAGTGCTGGCCTTCCAGAGTGAGCTGGGGTTTACTCTGAGATGCAGGGAGGAGAGGACTGTACCCTGCAGGGAGGGAGCGTGTCAAGGTCTGGGCTGACTGGGCCTCTTCCAATGTCACTGCAGGATTGAGACAGAGCAATCCAGATCTCATATGAGAATGAAAAGTCCCTGGACTGACAGGGGCCTGCTCAGCTCCTCTTCCACTCTTCTCTCCCTGCCCCATCCCCACCACATGCTGGTTGCCTTTCTTTCTGAGGTGGAGACTGAATCCTGACTCTGACAGGTTCTGGTAGGAAATAAGGAGAGATGTGCCTTGCAAGGAGACACAGCTGGAGCTGTGGAACAGAGAATCCTACGGGGACTAAAGGGATGGATGGGCCCAGCCAGGGGCTCGCCTGCCTGGGAGATTTCGACAGCCACGTCCTCCTGGAAGATCTTTCCCTGGGCAGCATGGTAGTTCCAGGACACAGTTCTCTTCCCACTCATCCTGTCCTTCCGTTCCAGTGGCTTTAGATGGGATGCGAGGACGATGTTCCTGTAGGTGAGGGACAGGGACTGGAGGGTGAATTTAACACTGTGTCTATGGGTCTAAGGCAACCAAACTTTGCCTGATGTAGGCGAGACCTGCTGACAATGACCATGACAACAATAACAGCAGGCACAGCCTTGAGGCTGTCTCGTGCTCCAGGCACTGTGCTCAGGGTCTCACTCATTGAACTGAACAGCAGCTACATCTGACAGAGAAGAACTGAGGCAAAAAGATCGAGGTGCTTGCGGGAGATCATGGGAGGGAGGGGTCTGGGCAGGAGCCAACCGCACCTGCCTCCTGGACACCTGCCTCCTGAGCACCTGCCTCCTGTGTACCTGCTGTCCAGCCCCACCCGCCCGTTGGAACCCGAGGCCTGAAAAAAATAGCTGGGAGCCAACCTGAAGTCTTCGTAGGACGGCACCTTCTGTGCCACGGCCCGCAACTTGGCAGCGTTCTCTCGCTTGTACTTCTCATCAGCAGCAAGTGATGCCTGCAGCTCTTTCTCCAAAGCTTTGAAGTCGACAGTGCTATTCTTTTCCATGGCTCACGCGGGGCAGGCGAAGGGCGTGCACATCAATGCAGGCTGAGCACCACAGATGAGAGGCGGCCTCTGGGCTGCCTGCCAGAACACAGAACAATCCGATAGCCTTTGTCTTGAAAAGTGCTACAAAAATCCAGCTCTCTACTTCACAGACACAAACTGAATTACACAGAGAGGACTTACATAAGGCACCTCATGGCTATCAGGGTAGAGCCTGCCTTAATTCTCTTCCATACCTCTGAAAATATTTTAGGGGTTGGGAGTTCTACACACTGCTAGAGTGCTTGCTTAGCACATGCAACACCCTAGGTACAATAACAACAACAACAACAATAATTTTGGTGTTTCAGCTGAGGAGGCATTTGGACTTTGGAATTCAGGTTTTTTTTTTTTTTTTTTTGTCTTTCTGAGACAGGATCTCTCTAGGCAGTTCAGGCTGGCCTTGAGCTCACTTTGTAGCCCAGGCTAGTCTCAAACTCACAACGATCCTCCTGCAGCGGCCTCCTGAGTACTGCGATTACAGATGTGAGCTACCATGCCTGGCTCAGTTCTTTACTTCTTCTGCGTAGCAAGTTGTTACCAAAAAGCAGCTCACACAACAGCAGGATTTTCTTTAGGTACCTGGGAACACAATTTCAGCTTTAAGTATTTCTAATGGAGGATATTTTTCACTCAAACCGAGGCAAAGTTTGAGGAGGAAATCCAGTGGCAGGGACAGAGGAAGGAGTGCCTGGATCGCCACCTACAAATCCCTGGGCTCAGCCCACGGATGGAAGTGCAGGCAGCTAGGTAACCCCGTGAGTTCCACTCCTCTGACTCTGCAGCCTCTGGTACCTGAAGCTGAATGGTCCCTTTCTACAGGAAATCTCTAAGGTTCTAGTCTGGGCTCTGGCGTTTATTGTTGTGAGACTGCTCTGAACCTCAGAACCCTGGTAAGTCGAGCTAGATTTTGTGGTTTGATCATGCCCTAGGGAAGGAGATCTGCAATCAATCCCCTGGCCATTTCTACCCCGACCGAAAAAGTCAAAAGCTAAGAAGGCAGCAGGGCTGGCCAGCAACCGGACTCGGATGTCTAGGCTCCAGTCTAGATCTGGGCCATTCCCACTCATTAGAATAAGCAGAACAACGATACTTCCATCCCTGTCACTCAGTCCCCGACCCCTCACCCCAGCAGCCCCAGCCTTGTTTTCTTTAGGGATCCCCTGATAAAACCAAATGGTAAGCTCGGCTCCTTCCACTGCTAGCGGCTGTGGTTGCCTAGCAACCGCTCCACCGGCATGCCCACGTGACTGCCGAAAGGTCCCTTCTTAGGTGGTCCCGAGATGCCTGATCAGATTCATGCACCGCCGGTCCAACTTTCTTTGGCGCATCCCACGCCTTCGTTTGGGGACTCACACCGCCCCTTTTCAGTCCCTGTCCCCTCGGCCAACCATCTTCGGAGCCAGTCTTCAGGCAGGGGCTGGCAACAGAGAGGTCCTTCTTGACCGCGGGCGCAGGCGCCGGCGAGTCCTTCCCTACGCGGGCGCAGCGTCGTCGTGGTGTGGAGCGGAAGCTTAGTCTCTGGCGGCGGGCTCGAGCGCTCGGGAGAGCAGGCAGGTAGGTGAGCGAGTGCGGGTAGTTGATTCGCGTGCGTTGCTCAGGGTGGGAGAGGAAATTAAGAGACCTCAGATCTGAAAGAGGCGCTATGTCAACCCTTTATATTTCACAGGTGGATAAATGGGGGCCTGAGGCGGGGAAAAGAATGAAACTCCACCACGCCAATCTCGGGGTTTCCTCGATACCTTCCATCGTTAAAATCCTGCCGCGAACTATGTGGTCATCTCTCTCACTCCCTGTTCCATCTGTGCCTTTTCTCTCTGTCAGGGGTTCTTTGAGCCTGCGATATAGCGGGAAGGTACAGGTTTGTGACCAAAAGCCACTGTTAACGTTGGCAACTCTCTCTGCGTTGTGTTGGAGGCGTTGATTCGCTCATCAAAGACTTACAAAGGGCCTGTTTATACTAGACACGATTCTAAGGAAACAAAACAAAGTGCTTGCCTAAATAGTTGAGGAAATGAATAGTAAACTAGTGAAGAAGTGTCTGTCAGCTGCTGATCAGTGTTCATAACAAACTGCAGGTGGGGGATTGGCGAGTGTGTGAGAGACTTAGAGCGACAGAGGGTGGCGTTTTAATAAAGCGTTGGGTGAAATCAAGGCAGCCAGGCTTAAGTTTCGGAGAGAATAGCAGGGGCAGTGGGCCTGAGTTAAAAATGAGGTTAGCTCGTTTCCGGAGCAACCGTCTGCAAAACTTTTGGTAATCACTGTGGGAGTATTAAGGGAGGGAAATGAGCAGAGGTGGGATGTCTGTTTGGAAACAAAAAGACTCTCTAGACACAGTAAAATTTCTCTTATAATTCATGTTTAATGATAAGTCTATACTCTCCTGCCAGTTCTCAAAACAGCACCTGGAATAAGTAGAAACTGAGTAAATATCAACTGAAGGAAGATGTGATTTTGAAAAACTATTTTATGCCTTCATCTCCCTTAATACCATCTGTTGATGGCACTGTAGAAAATGAGACCCAAGCAGGAAGCACATGGTTTTTATATCCCAGCCAGACCACAAATGCTGACTAACACTGATTGGGCCTGGTCGGTGTGTGTACCAAATTCCTTTCATGGAGTATTTTACTTAATCCTTATAATTTTTTTAAGTGACAGAGCATATTTGAAAAAGTAAAAGTGAAGAGTGAGGGAGAAACTAGCTCTGCAGTGTGAGCTTGGGCTGAGTGAAATAGGAAATAGCAAGGTGAAGGTAACTCCTGAAGGACACTGTTGAGAAGAAAGCCATGATAGCCAATCCTCATAATTTTTTATGCAGTGAGGATTATTTACTCCGTTTTCCAGTTGAAGAAGCACTTGGAAAGGGAGGTAAATTATCTGAAGCAACATACTGTTACTGATGAAGATAGAATTTGAATCTAGATTTTCCAACTCCAGAAGTCTGATGTGCAACCCACCCTCTAGCCTGTTGTTCATTACTTACAAACTGTGGGCTTAGTAGGATTTAGGAAAAAATTAATACTGCTAAAAGCACAATTTAGGAAAAAATACTGATAAAAGTACAAGTGATTATAGCTGCGTAGAAAAATGAGTAGATCTAGGTAAACTTAAAAGAGGTAGTATTTAAACTATTTTGTAAGCTGATGTGGTGGCACACCTGTGATCCCAGTACTCAGGAGGTGAGACAGGAGGATCACTGTTAGTATAAGGCCACCCTGGGCCATATAGCAAGTGTTTTTTTTTTTTAGGAGAAAAAGAAAAAAACAGAAAAAGGGTACAAGAAATACAAAATTTAAAAAATAAACAGTAAGAAATCACTAGTTAATAGATTACGTATTCTCAGAAATAGTTGTTCAAATTACAAAATTGAAGCATATAAAGTGGACTTTCAAACAGTGAGAGTGCAAACAGTTTTGTTCAATGATCAAAAAGACTCAGTAATATGGTTACCTATCTTATACACTTAAACATATATGCAATTATAACCTTTAGAGCACTTTCTTTTCTTTTGTACAATGACAGTTACACATTTTGGGTTTTATTACTTCCGCAGTTCTTATTACTTTTTTTTTGAAGAGAGTAAAATCAAATGTGACATATCTGAACAGAGTCAGTCAAATCAAAAGGATGGACATAATAGATAATGTAGAAATAAAATACAAGGTGATCAACAGTGGTTACCATACTGCCTCTTGCTATTTTAAGAATTGCCAGTTATAATGAAATTAAAACAGTAAAGAATAAAACCAAAGCATTGGAGACATTGCAGGACTTTAAAAGAAGATAATAGTCAACTGGAATGGGCGTCATAATGAATCTTATTGTCTTCACAGTTTTGCCTATACTTTCGAACTTGGTACTATCAAGCAAAGCAGAATAGGGGAAAATCAGTCAAAACAAGATGGTGAGGGCAATACAGGATTTCAAATCAAGTTAATAGGAAATCAGAGTAGGTTACTATAATGTATCCTATGTTTTATTTATTTTTCCCTTAATTCAAAAGAAAAAAGTAATTTAAAAAAAGGGAGATTGAGATAAAAGAGGGCATAATAACAGAACAGTGCAGGTCAAAACATAACCATTTAAGCAAAATAGTGTTTCATCACAAGATATCCTGACATAAAAATAGTTATCATAGTGTCTCTTTCCTTGAAATCTTTGAGTGTAACTTCATATACTGTAGCACCAAATATATCAAGACATTATAAAACCATTCAAAAGAATGATTACAGGGTATTTAGAACCAATTAACGGAAAATGAACAATGGTTTCTGGTTGTTTTTTTTTTTTTTTTTTTTGTCTTTTTCCTTTTTATCGGTACCGGGGATCGAACTCACAACTGCCTGCTTGCAAGGCAGGCGCTTATGCCGCTGAGCTAAATATTCAGCCCCCAATGGTTTCTGTATAATCTCCTTGTCTATAAAAGTTTTTACTTATATTATCATATATAATAAAATCCAATAAGATACAACCTTTTAAGACCGATGGAGACAGAAGAATACAGTTTGATGGGACTTCAAAACAAAATGATACTAAATCAAAATGATACTAACTATTATGATGTCTTATTTTCTCCATAATAGCTGTTCCTACCATCCGATCTTCTCTGCCTTATTTCTGTTGAGCTCTTTTTCTGTCGTTTGTTGTCAGTTTGTCTTCTTCATTTTGCTTTCTGCTCCATTCATTGTGGCCTCTCTGCCACTATTTCTGGAATCTTGGTATTTTCCTTTTTTAGAATATCCTGCAGTATTCTCTGTAAAGTTGAATTGGTGGTTGCAAATTCCCCTAGTTCTTCTTTATCCTGAAAGCACCTTATTTTTCCATCAATTTCCAGGGACAGTTGTGCAGGATATATCAATCTTGGCTGGAGGTTATTATCTTTCAAAGCTTGAATTATTTCCCCCCATGCTCTTTGTGTTTTTATGGTTTGTGCCGAGAAGTCTGCTGTAATTCTGATGGGTGTTCCCTTGTAAGTGATCTGTTTCTTGTCTCTGGTGGCTTTTAATATTCTGTTCTTATATTGGATTTCTGGAATTTTGATTATTATATGCCTGGGTGTAGCTCTGTTTGGGTTGTAGGTGGCTGGGGTCCTGAATGCTTCATACATCTGAGTATCTTTACCTTTTGCTAAATTAGGGAAATTCTCCTGGATTATTTCTGCGAATAGCTTTTGTAGTCCATTTGTTTGTGTCCCTACTTCTTCTTTTATGTTCTTAATTCTTAAGTTATAGATCCTCTTATCATCTTCTAGTCTTTGTATTATTGCTGTTTGTTTCTTTGTTATTTTTAAGAAGTTTTTCATTTCATGCTCCCATATTACGAATCTGCCCTCCAGTTCAGATAATCTATCCTTAGTTTCTTTCAAGTTGTTATGCCAGTTTTCGATAGAGTTTTTAGTTTCCTGGTAATCTCTTTGAACCTGCTTCACGTATTCTATACTTTCTCTATTTTCTCCATCAAACAATTCTCCCCTTTTTTTCTGTTCTTCCATTCCACCATCTGTTTTTTCTTAGGTGGTGTTTAGCATTTCTCTAACTATTTTACTTATATCTTGTTTCAGGTCGTTAATAACTTCATTCCTGAACTCATCTATGAGGTTCTGGAGATAGCGCTTTATGTCTATTGTTGCCGTGTCTGATATTGCATGTTTCTCAGGATTGGGGGTCAAGGACCCTTTTCTTTTTTTTTTTTTTTTTTTTTTTTTTTTTTTTTTTTTTGGTCTTTTTCATTTTTATCGGTACCAGGGATCGAACTCACGACTGCCTGCTTGCAAGGCAGGCGCTTATGCCGCTGAGCTAAATCCCTAGCCCCAAGGACCCTTTCTTGTTGCTCTCTCTTCCCATATTTTTGTTTCTTTTATACAAGCTAATATAGGAGGCCCAGTTTCTTTCTTTGTTGGTTACAGTTTGTTTGAATTGCCTCAGCTAGGTGTTCCTGCCCACTGCAGTGTACTGGCCTATGCTGGGCCTGCCCCTCCAGGTCAACCCACCAAAGGCTTCACTGCTAGGGTGCACCTCCAGGCGCTGGGATCTGGTTTGGGCTAGCCTGTCTGGTCTTAGCGGCGTCACGCAGGCCAGGCACTGCCCACCAATCCCACTTGAGAGGGGATTA